ACTTAATCTGGGTTGATTCACCACCTTTTAGCATTTGGCTTGACCAAAATGGATTTTATTGTTCTGCAATCATGCTCTTCACTTTCCCTTCCTCTGTTACAGTGGATAACATCACCATCTCTTCTCTGTCACCAAGGCTTAAAACAATGGTAAAGTTAGTTTTGACTGTTTGTTCCTCTGCTTAATTGTTAAATGGCTTTTTTCCCATACACCTCTATTGTTTCCTTTTTAGTCAAAGATTTCAACTTTCCTTCAGTATCTTTCCTCCCCCCTCTTCTTGGGTCTTTTTTCCTGGTTTCCCCTTCAAAATGCTTGCTGCCAAAACTGTCAATCACTGTCCTTTCTTTCTTTTCTTCTACAGATGCAGTGGAAATCATGATCATCTAAAACTCTGGGTATTACACACTTAAATAACAGAACGTTGAAGATAGGCAGTAAAAATCAACCAAAGCAATAGTACCTCTTTCTATGTTTTCTCAGATACTTTAGGAACTGTTCAAGTGTCGTCTTATCAAGGGGAGGATGAGGGGAGAAAATACCAAGCTCTTTCTTCCAAAGACGGAAGTTTAGGTACATAATGGTTTACATCCTTCTAACTGAGACTGCAATAACACCCATATGCATGTACACCATACCATTCACTGTATAAACTGCACGATGTATGTGGCATATTAATGTTTCTACATTCACTATAACCAACTGCAATTTCATCTTGCAAGTTAATTCTGTGTAATTGTCTGTAGGTTGTGAACTAGCCTTTCTCACTTGAAAACCAGAGTTTCTTTCTCTATTGGCCCATGGAAACTGGCACGGACCCTGATGCAGCCAACCAGCCTTCAGAGCATGACAACAAGTAGGCATCCTCATCAGATGAGAAAAACCAGGATAGCACCATTGCACTTGTCTTTGTTAAAAGCTGCTGTAACATGTGACATGTCTGTCCTTTTCAACCTGCCCAACCTGGGCTAATGAGAGCAAATACATTCTCTGAATCCTGTTCTCTTTCTACACTTCATAGCTCCGTGCCATATCCAGCAAGCCCCCAGATGGCCACTTTGATTGCCCCAAAACCTGACAGATCCCTTGCAGATGGTTTTCTAGCCAAAGAGCTACGCTTTGTCACTTCCCAGCTTCCCTCCTTGTTCCCCTGTTGTACCCCCAGCTCTTACCTCCTCTCTGTACTCCCAGAGCAATGTCCTCTGCTGCGTTTGAGTTCTTGGCCATCTGCCTTCTGTGCAACATCTGTTTTTGTTCCATGTGCTCTCAGGTCAGTACCACCACATTTGAAGCAGAATGTCCTGTCACAGAAACTTACTGAGAGTTAGTTAGGCATTGGATGGTTAGATCATAAAGTATGTAACCACAGCCAGGTTACATAACTGAAAATTTCTTTATCAGTTTAGACCTTATTAGCGTTCCTAAGACTCTATGTAGAGATATTGAGCTGAATTCTACAAAAAAGACATCTCAAGCTGGAAACACGTGACACAGAAATTTTAACAGGCCAGGAATGCTTCTGTTATGCCTAAAATTGCTTGTGAAACAGTCGTAATGGAATAACAAAACCTGTGCAAGTGGAAACACATCTGGGTTTGTTTATGAAGCGTTTTAGCAGGAATGTCACACGGCACAGCAGCATTGCTCTCTGACCTCTGTGATAACAGATCTCAGCCTCTTCTGTAACTCAGACCCTTTTGCTGAGGGATCATCCCACTGAATAACGAGACCCTTACACGTTACTTTAAGTATGCGGTCTCCTTGCAGCTCGGTCAGACAGGCTGGGGACGTTCCCTTCCGTGCTCAGCTGCCTGTGAGCACAGACCCGCCAGGTCCTTTCCAGCTGCAGTTCTCCGGCACCGCTGGCGGCTGGGCCAGCGAGCCGTGGACAGGATGCACAGCACAGGGAACCACAGGCACGACATGTGAAGTTGCCACCCAGCCAGCTACTATTAGAAATCCCGTAAGCTACAGATCTGCCAGTGGGAATCACAGCGGGATTTATTGGCTCAAGGCTCCGCAGACCCGAAGGGGCTCTGGGAAAAGACAGCTAAAACCCCGTGAATTTTAGGTTCCACAGAGACTTTAACAAGGAGCGAAGAATTGCCGGTTACTTTTCTCGGTTGCCAGAGGTAAGCGTGTAGAGCGCACAGTCAGCCAGCGGTGGGTTTCAACACTCCATAAACCCGAAGGGACCAACTTATTATTATTATACCAGGGGAAAAAAAAAAAAAAAAAAAAGGAAAAAAAAAAGGAGAAGTAACAACAACAACAACAAAAAGGCAGAACCCTGACGCGGCGGGCGGAGCCCCCGCGGGCCAATGCGGGTGCGGGGGGCGGTGCAGGAGGAAGCGGCGGCTCGGGCCGGGCCGATGCGGGCGGCGGTGGCGGAGGACCCGGGGCACCGCCCGGGCCCGGCCGCGGGCAGCGGCTCCTGGCTCCTGCCGCTGGCGGCGGCGCTGGCGCTGCTGCTCACGCTGGTGGTGCGGCAGCTGCTGAAGCAGCGGCGGCCCCCGGGCTTCCCGCCCGGCCCCGCGGGGCTGCCGCTCCTCGGCAACATCCCCGCGCTGGGCGCGGAGCAGCCGCACATCTACATGCGGCGGCAGAGCCAGATCCACGGGCAGGTACCGCCGCTCCCGCCGCCGCCTCCTCCTCGGGGCCCCCGGAGCGGGAGAAGGGCGGGATGGGGCGGGGCGGGCTGCGGAGCCCGGGGAGGAGCGGCCGGGAGGGCCGTGCCCCGGAGCTGTCCCGGAGCGGCCCCGAGCGAGTCCCGCTGCCGGTGTGCCCGGGGCGGGGGGCGGAGCCGGGACCCGTCCCGTGGGAGCGGGGACAGGATCGCGGCAAACGGGAAAGGGTGTGCACTCTCTCTCACACCGCAGCTCCCTCCTTAAGCTCCAGCTCTTAGTTTTTTTTTTTTTTTTGTGGTTTTTGTTTGTTTGTTTGTTTGTTTTGGGTGCAGTGCAAATGGAAATAACTCCCTTGTTTCATATCCACAAGTCCTGGGCGTAAAATCAACTAAATTACAACAGTGAAAGAGCAGGCACTGGGATAAGGCAACGTTTTCACTGAAAACACCTTCCTTCAAAGTACCTCCAGTGTACTTTCAATGTACCTTCAGTGGTATATTTGGGATACTTACTTACAGTCCATTTAGTGTTACTATGTAAGAAAGGATTTATTTTATTTTTGTACTTTCTTACAGATCAGGTTTTTCTTTTCATCAGCACTGTATTCTTACAAGGATCATAAAAGTTAACTCCAAACTAGATCTAAAGGGGAAAGGCAGGCATGTGTTTTGGCAGTAGAAAAAAAAATAAATGTGTTTCAGGCAAAACACTTGGACAAGCAGAATGGATATAGGAAGGAAAACATGTCATCAAATAAAGTAAGCTTTCTACTTGCCTGGAATGCTGTATGTAGTTCTAGTCACATGCTGTCAGAAAAAAATCGTGCAGAATTTGGAGGAACTTGAAAACAGGCTATTGGGATTTGGGGTGCTCTGGAAAAATACAGTAAGAGGATTTTTTTAAAATTATGTAGGATATATGAATAAAGATAAATAAGCTGGATCAAACTATACAAAACTCACAAATAATATACAGAAATCTATTGGGAATGTGTTCTTGATGCATAAAAAAGAAGAGCCATTATAACAGTGAAAATATCAAGTTTGCTAAAATAAAATACTCATAGAATCAGTTAGGTTGAAAAAGACCCCTAAGATCATTGAGTCCAACCATTAACCTCACATGAAGCCCAACACTAAACTCTGACCCCAAGTGCCACATCTACACAGCTTTTAAAAACCTCTAGGGATTGTGACTCCACCACTTTCCTGGACAGCCTGTTCCAGTGCCTGACAACCCTTATTGGGGACAACCCAGTTGTTGCAGAATGTATGATTAGACTAATATAATTTCTTATTGTGGAGGTCAACAACTTTGAGATGAAGAAAAATACAGAGATTTGTATAGGTAAAAATACAGATTTATAATGCTAAGGAAAGTATGGAAAGGGACATAAGATTCCAATCTTGAGTTTAGCCTCGGTTTTAATTTTTAAAACTTAGGTTAAGATTTTCATTTTGTTTATCCTGCAGAAGTTTATACCTTCTGCAGGCTGTATTGCATCTTTGTCCAAAGCATCTAATGATAACCACTGGTGGAAACAGGAGTTGGGCCTCGCTGGGCTGTGCTGTCAGTTCTTGGCTCTCCTCATGGCTCTCCTCTGCTGGTTCTTTGGGAGCCTGTGCAGAGTAAGCTGGTGTCCAGGTTCAGACCTAGAAAGGACTGAGAGCAGCCTGGTTGTTCTCACAATTGACACCACTTTCTGTGTCTGCCATTATTAAGTGACATGTTGGGAGTCTTTGTGATAGGAACTTCAGCCATACTGCCCTTGACCAAATTAAGTTGGAATTTACCTTGACTCAGGTAGGGAAGAGAAGCAGATACAGTAATACAGCTTTTCTCCCTCCTGTGGAAATAGTCTCAGCAAATTAAGAAAGTAGACTATACATGTACTTTATTTCCAATGCTTATTAAAAAAAATTATATATATAAAGTGTATAACATAACATTATTAGATAAGTATGTACTTCTACTAATACCTACTTACATCCCCTAATGCTAGGAGAAAGTACTTTTTTTTTTCTGAAAAATACACATTGTTGTACCAAATTCACTTTTTTTAATGACTGTGAAAGTGTCCCAGTCCTTACTTTGGAGAACTGGTTACTCTGGGTGCACAGCAAAGCACAAAATGTAGTGTGGAATAATTTGCTTTCTTTTGACAGAGCAAGTTATCTCAACAGACTCTACTGTAATGCCACAACTGCACCACCTCTGGTTACCTGTATGCCCTACTGAAGGTTATTCAAGTATTTTGCATTGTTTAGTGCTGTTTCACTTTTTCATTACTTGTTCTCATTATTTTCTCATTATTTGCTCCTAGGATTTGGTTGTAATAGCGTTTTACAATTTTTACTGGTTTTTTCCTCCAAAGATCTTCAGTCTTGATCTCGGAGGTATATCTGCTGTGGTACTGAATGGCTACGATGCAGTGAAAGAATGCCTCGTTCATCAGAGTGAAATCTTTGCAGATAGGCCGTCTCTTCCCTTGTTTAAGAAGCTGACAAACATGGGAGGTGAGTGCTAATTTCTTCTATATAGTAATGTAATTTTTGTCCAATAGATGGACATGATCACATGAAACGTTGGCTTTAGCCATTTTCTCTACTTAATCTCCTTTCATAAAATGCGTGATGCTTCTTAAAAAATTTTGTTTGGAAACAATTGTCACTCTGGGACTATGTTCCATGGAAAAAAACTTTTTTTGTATCTCTTTTTGTCTTGTTAAATGATTTTATTATCTTATGGGGGAAAAAAATAAAGCGTTGCATAAAATACATGTCAAAATATTTTTTCAGGCTTACTGAACAGTAAATATGGCAGAGGATGGACAGAACATCGCAAATTAGCTGTAAATACCTTTCGAATTTTTGGATATGGTCAAAGGTCCTTTGAACACAAAATTTCAGAAGAATCTATGTTTTTTCTTGATGCCATTGATACATACAAAGGCAGACCGTTTGATCTTAAGCACTTGATAACAAATGCTGTTTCAAACATTACTAATTTGATTATTTTTGGAGAACGTTTTACTTACGAAGATACTGAGTTTCAGCACATGATTGAGATTTTTAGTGAAAACATTGAATTAGCTGCTAGTGCTTCCGTGTTTTTATATAATGCTTTTCCTTGGATTGGTATCTTGCCATTTGGGAAACACCAGCAGCTGTTTAGAAATGCAGCTGAAGTCTATGACTTTCTTCATGATCTCATTGAGCGTGTCTCTGAAAATAGGAAGCCTCAGTCACCTCGACATTTTGTAGATGCATATTTAGATGAGATGGATTGCAGTGAAAATGATCCAGAATCTACATATTCAAGAGAAAATTTAATTTTCTCTGTTGGAGAACTCATCATAGCTGGGACAGAAACCACAACAAACGTTTTAAGATGGGCAGTGTTATTTATGGCTCTTTATCCGAACATTCAAGGTAAGAAATTTGACATTTTGAGGAACTGATACCCTTTCCTATTGCAAATTTAAAATGCTTTTTCAAAGTCATGCAGTGATCCATAGTCATAACCAAAAGGAATGTTTGTATGTATTATTCAATTGTATCATTTACCAGACATACTATGGAAGAGGTGAAAAGTTTGTTTTATATGCAGACAAAGAGGATATCAAAAGTCAAGTGTCACAACAAATTTTAACATATTATCTTGTGAATACATTTTTATGAAGCTTTAATATTTTTAAGTATTTCTAATGTATTTAAATTTAGTGTTGTGATACATGGTCCATTGTTGGCAGATATACTAACCTATGCTGTTAATAAATAGTAAGAAAATGCAATTAAATATGAAAGTAATAAACTTAATTAAAAATGCACAAACATCAGCAAAATGTAAATCAGGTTGTGGTTAGTTTAGGTACAATTTCTTTTTATCTTAAGTACCTGAGTTCACAATAAATTTACATGTTACAGACATTCATATTTATACTTCTGAAAGAACAGAAATGACATTTAAAAACAAAAAAGATGTGTTACATTCACTCTGAAGTAAGACAGCAATAGATGTCTGAATGTCAGCCCAGACATTTTGTGTAGAAGTTTGGATTTTAGAAGTGAACAGTTGTGTCTAATTTCACTGCCTCCACTTTTCCTGTCAAACCTTTAGCAGTGCTTGGTTCAATTAGGGACTTCCAGTATTTGGAGGAAGAGCAGCCAAGATAACTTGGACAGTTACTGCTGATACTTTGACCAAAAATCATTGCTCTAACATCAATTTCGTCACCATTTTAGAGTGGGGACAATAACCTGTAGCTGTAAGGCTTTTGAGCTCCCAAGTTCTGCATAGGAACCAGATATCTTTCTGTATGAAATATTAGACTTTCTTCTTATGGTAGTATGTGAATGACTCTATACACTCTGATTTTCTCAACTAGAAAATTTTAAAATTAAATTTTGAGGGATGAAATGCAATTATTCTAAAATTGGAGATAAAATTTTACATTTACTTTTAAAGTAAATACAGCTTTACTTGGGAAAAAATGAAATTGAAAATATGATGATATCATATGTTAAGGCCTGGCAAGATATAAACACTACAAGTCATTCAGACTTAATAAAGAAGTTGATGCCAAAGCTCTGTTGTTGCTGCTGTTATCATTATTTTAAGTTCCATATTCACTTAGCTGGTTAAAATATCTGGCTAAGCAAGTAGAAGCAAAGTTTATTCAAATATCTTCATAGAGCCGTAACCTCTTACGTATTTTCTTACTTTCGTTTACTCAGCTATATTAGTTAATTGATGAATTAACTGAACAAACTGATTAAAGACTTTTAAAAATGGGAAAGCTTTCTTCTAACCTAAGTAAAAATAAGATTTAATGGGATTTGAGTTGCTAATTTTAAAGAATTTGAGGGACATGCTTAAGAGAAATATGTAGCTTCAGCTCAGTCAGTTCAGCCAAAAATTTTTTTGTGGAAGCTTAAAACGATGATTGCCATTTTTAACCAGTCATCATATTCCAGATGATACAAAATAAATGAATTTTTAAAAAAAGAAATATTGCTTTTCATGTTTCTGAGTTCCACCAATTAATTTATATGCTTTACACAGTATAGTAAGAAAACCTACAAAAAATAAAAACATTAAGTAAAATTAAAAAAAAAATATAAAATCTGATTTTATAGGTACTTACATGATCCATATTTTAGTTAAAACTGTATTAAGGTCAATAATTAAGCCATAGTATATGTTTATGCTTCATATTATGTAAAAAGCCCAAATGCAAAAAGGTCCATTTAAATCAAAGTTTCTGATCAGACTGTCCTGGCTCACAAACAACATTCATAGCTTAAAACAAGAACATCCTTATTCCTTCTCAATTAACATCTGACCAAGATATTGTTTCTCAGTAAAGATCAAGAAGACTTTGTAGTTTTGTGTCTGCTATGCACTGACTGATTTTGTAGAGATCCACTCACCTAAAATAATCTTCTGATCTCAGATCTTTCAATATAATGAGTTTCTGAATTTGGATTAATAAACAGTTCATCTGGATAAAAATAAAAATTACTCTTATTTTTCATTTATTTAGAGTTCCTTTGTTCAACTGTTACAATATGCACTGACACACCACTACATAACAAGTGTGCTTTCACTAAGCTGCTTTTCATCTCTTTATTTTGACCTGAAACGTTGTCACTTCAGGTTGAAAAACCCGGTGATTCTGGAAGAATTTTTCAGCTACTGCCCAGATTTTCATTATTGGTTCCACATGAATTGTAAAAGTCTAGATTTTTTTAGTTAGGAGTTGTTTGGCAGTTTCAACAAAGAAAGTGCATCAGAAAGAGGCAGTTTAAATACCTTTGAGTTTATTTCAATAACATGTGAACTTAATTTTAAAAATAGCTAAAAAAGCCCAGTGATTGAATTTGTTCCTTTTCAGTTAAATTCTGGCTCCTGTGCCTGTTAATTCTCATTGTGTTCTTTCAGATATTTTAGGTTCAAGAGTGAATGATTTTACACTGTGACAATTCTAAAGAATCATAGCAGAGTTAAACAAGGGGAAATTCAAGTGGCTGATTTGAGTCTTATCTGTGTTCAGTCAAGTATTTAATGTACTTTATCTTTTACAGCCTTTCTGTTTCTTTAGTTTTTAAGAGCTCCAGAAATAAAAATATACACAAGAAAACAAAACTATATTAAAACACGATCTTGCAGAGAATAATTACATTCTAAATGCAGATTAGTGGTATATATGCTAGGAATGACTCCTACTAGCTGGATGAGAAATATAGAGTCTAAATTTAAAAGTTTGTAAGGTACTATATTTTATATAAGATACTTCATGTTTCAGTATTCTTTTAAAAGTATCTATTTTGGCTTAGATTTAAATGTAAAGGCTATTGCACAATAAACATCAGCTTTTACTGCTGTTCCTAACAGGGCAAGTTCAAAAAGAGGTGGATCTAGTCGTTGGCCCAAACAAAATGCCCACCTTTGAAGAGAAATGCCAGATGCCCTACACTGAGGCGGTTCTACACGAAGTTCTGAGGTTCTGTAACATAGTCCCCCTAGGGATTTTCCATGCAACTTCCAAAGATACTGTAGTGCGTGGCTACTCGATTCCTGAAGGCACCACAGTCATTACAAACCTCTACTCCGTTCACTTTGATGAAAAGTACTGGAGCAATCCAGAAGTGTTTTTTCCTGAGAGATTTTTGGACAGCAATGGGCAGTTTGTCAAGAAAGATGCATTTATTCCTTTTTCACTAGGTAAGAGTGCTTCCTTCCACTGTTCCTTTTCATAAATCCAGAGATGTATAACGTAGAGGTGATGGCAGTAAGGGGACAGAATGACATCCTCTGTTCTGATCAAGCAGATTTTAAAGATATTCAATATAATGTACTCTGTAGATAACAAATTTTGGCACAATATCTTTTATATAAGTGAGGTCATTATTATTTATAAACTAACAAAAGTACACCTTACAAAGTTACAAAATAATTGCCAGATAATAATGACTGGAAGTAGATGTAATTAATAAAATTGGGGGGGGGGAAAGGCTGAAATTAACCGTATGCTTTTTTAAGCATCTTCTGTCTAGATTGGTACTTAAACACAAGAAAACGTAGCTAATAAATATATCTAAATAAATTTGACAGTTCCTTTCAGTGGCATTTGTGAGGTGAGAGCAACAAAATCTCTAAAATCTGTTTCTAAGTGTAAATTATTACTTATCCTTCTTACACAATACTACCAGCAAGTTCATATAGCTCCTCTTAGAACACAGAGATCACCATTCTTATTCATAATTAGAGTGAAAATGCAACTGCAGACATTTATAGTCTTTTTAAAACCTTCTTTTCAATCCAGGAAGAAGACATTGTCTTGGAGAACAGCTAGCTCGAATGGAAATGTTCTTGTTTTTTACTTCATTACTACAACGATTTCACCTGCATTTCCCTCATGGAGTGATTCCAGACCTCAAACCAAGATTAGGAATGACATTACAACCACAGCCTTACCTCATCTGTGCGGAGAGACGGTGAAGAGAAAGGTCAAGATTGTCAGGTGGAGCACAGTGCTCCAAGTTGCAGCTAAAGATCCACTTTACCTTCTATTTCTAAACATGTTCATGCCAGAAAGGCAACTTAAAGGACTTGCAGATAAATTCTGGCTGTTTATGCACAAGTAAATAGTTTCTTTTTACTTGGTTTTCACAGAAAAAAGAATGGAACCAGAAGTGTGGAACACATCCTGTGTAAAACTGATGTTTTCACTACACAGGTCTATTTGGAATCTAACTTCTGATATGGTTTTTATATATTTAATTACTTAGCAAGCCATTTTACTTTGAGAGGATATTTTTATAAGCATGGAGAATATGGTTCAAAATGTTTATCCATGGCAATCTCATTTACATTATTCTTTATAATTCTCCTTTAAGTTTTCATAGCTAAAAAGGTTTAAAAGATATATTTAAATTTCTGTAACCAAGAATAAACTATCTTTTCCAGCCTTGACAGATTGTCTATTAAAGCATTTTAATCCTTCTTTCTCCTTGCTCTATATTCCTAGATGGTCATAATTTTCTAGTGAATCAGGTAACTGAATTCACTTTCAGGATCTTTTATAACCTCCTTCTAATTTAACAAAGGACAAAAAGCGTTCAATTATTGCCATAATCCTGACAATTACAGGAATCTTTTTTGCCGTTATGTTGCATTTCCAGACACGTGTCCTCCATTGCCTCCCCACACGAAGCACTATGTAATGATTAATCTCTTCTTAAATAGTCTGAAAAAACCCAGAGTTTATGTTACCAGTCACATGTAACTGTACTATGAGTAGAGAAAATAACCTGCTCATTGTTCTGATGAGAAAAGAGAGTTTTTGGGGAGGGAGGTTGGAATAGGATGGAGAGAAACACCTTAAATGCATTTTAAGCACAAATATTAGGTGTAGGAGCTACTCTTGACTTCTGCCAGCTTCATCTTCTATTCTTAACAGCTATTGCTTTGTGGTTATTGGTAGATAAAGATTCGTGTCTGCAGACCCTGCAGGAGAACCTGGTACTCTAAATACTGCTTGTTTGGTCCCTGCCATGTGGGGAGAGAGGGCCTCAAACAGGGTTCAGAACAAAACACACACTGAGTAAGCAGCTATTTGAGGACAAGGCTGAGTGTTGGAACTCAGTTTTTATACAAATAATGCCTCAACTTGGAGCTGCAGGAAAGTTGAAAGGCAGGAAATGGTGTTTTTCTGCTGACCCGATGTTTTCAGAAATACTTCCTTTCTTTTGAAACAGCAAAAGAGAAGAATCAGAGCTAATACCAGTTCACTTATATAACAGCCTATTGACTTCAGATGCAGCAGGTCCAGATTAATTTACTCATCTGAGGGTAGTCACACCCGCCTGTCCCACAGCAAGCAGCTCAAACACTTATTCCTCATGCTCTGAAGAGGGTGGGCAGGCTACTCCACTTGCTGAATAACTAACTGCCTTTCCTAGAGAGGATTTAAAACTCAAGAGAGGAAGGGTGGAGTCTGACTGCTGTGCACTGGGCACACTATGAAAACCGTGAATAAACCACTCCTAAGACACTGGCAAACAGTGGGGCTTAGGAGTCTGACTGAGGCATTTCTGGGTACCTGCATAAGTAGATGTTGGGTGCTTGTGAAATGAAAAGGTAAAAATTGTGGAATCTAGTGAACTGGGTGCCTTCAGTATAAAGCAACATTGAGGACTTCAAGCTACAGTTCTGGACTCATGTTAATTCTTTTTATACCTGACCCTGTGCTCTTAAATCAGACAGCCAGAGTTTTGTCAGTATCTAGTCTTGCCTTCCTTCTAGGTTGCAGGAGCTCTAGGCCATCCTTTGGTTAAAACATGATTCAAATATTGCTACTTGAAGTGTTGGGAGGATTAAAAAACATCAAGTTCTTGCGGGTGGCTATGCTCAAAATGCAGCTGGCCAGTTATAATTCCCTTTTGCTGAGGTATTTTGAGATCTAAGTCCTGACTAGTCTTTAATCCATTTAATGAGAACCATATTGATTATATGTCATTCTGGTTTCTAAATCAAAATGCCTTGTAAAAGCCTCAGAATATCAATCCAAACTTTTACCATTATCTGCCAACTTACAGTCTCGTTTAAGTAATCAAATACATTTGACAAACTGTCTTTTCTATAAATCTTTATCAGTTTTAGTTATATCTGCCATTTCATCCTGTATCAACTTTTTCATTATTTTCCCTCTGACTTAGAATTATCCTAATCATCCAATTTAATAATTTGTAATACTGACATAAGAATATTTTCCAGTCCTCTGGAATTCTCCATTGTATCAACATTCATTAGAAATGAATATCAATAGCCAGATGTTTGGAATTTCCTAGTGAGTTTTCAAAGGCTAAAATATCTAGCATAGATAGCAGCTGGCTGCTATTCAACATTGTTTTGGAATTAAAGGCTGATATATTAACCAGTATATCTTTTTCTGGTGTAGAATTTAAGGATGAGAAAAAACATTAAACAGCAATTTTTCCTGTCTGGCCTTAAGTGTCCTAATATTTTGGATTAAAACACTGCGTCCAGATACCGATCAAAAGATTTTTTTATATTTAAGATACAACTCTTAATTTTTGCATATTAATGTCATTTATTGTGCTCTTTATTTTACCATTTTCCTAAGTCTTATTCCCCCCAGTATTTATAGTCCCTCTCATTTTTGTCTTTTGCAGAGTTACCTCTTTGAATTCATGATGGTAGTTTAGAACTGGAAGCACTCTGAGCTTGCAAGGAAAATTGCCACAGAACCAATAGTTCCTTCAGCTATAGGGATGTGTCACTGTATCATGGGAAGAGAGAAATGTGGTGCCCAGGAGACACAGAAATCTTTAAAGAGAGCAAAGTGACCGTAATCCAGTATAATTTAGGTTATATAGAACCATGATCTGGCACCTAGCAGTGAAAAAGGTGAGATGCCATTTTGTACACTCACATTACAATCCATTCATTTCACAGAGTATGTTTTTGACCCCCTGTGGGCCAGATCCAATATCAACAGAAAGAAGGTCTTTCCTTCTGGACTCTGGCCTTTTTTGGCATGTCCGAATATAAATGCATCTGTGTATGAGCCAATGACATAGAAAACAGGCATGGGATGAGGGACATCTATATTAAAAGCTGTAATTCTGAAAGAGCTTGGGGTTCATGGTGGATTGTTAGTTAAACACGAATTTTAACTGTTCAGCCAAAAGATCTTTCGTTTATGGAATACTGAATGAGGGTAGAATCATCGAATCATTGAGCTTGGAAAATACCTTTAAGATCATTGAGTCCAACCATTGACAATTGTGGAAGCTATATAAGTATTTGGTGCTGGCACAAGCATTCCTTGAATACTGAGCCTTGTTCTGTTGTTTATAGCTGAAGGAGGATTTAAAAAAAAAATCAATAGTGTTCCTATAAAACCATAAAAATGAATAAGAATACGCTTATGCAATATATTCTGGGTTATTGCAATGTACTTCTACTGACTTATAAATTGACCAAATAGTGTGTAATCATATCAGGGCAGCACCAAGTCCAAGCTAAGACCCTTCCACTTCAGACTTGGTGACCCACTGACACTGTTATAAAGTTTTTGGATCACTTGGGTGACCGAGCATGCTCCAGAATATACACCAGACTATCCACAGAAATGTACAGTACAACGTACTGGCTAGTGACACATTAAAGATAATTCATTTGCTTGGTTTACCAAACATGTGACTGTGACTTGAGTCCAAAAAGTTGATAAATGATCTCATCAGTAAGTAGACAAGAACATAAATAGAAGTCAAGATGAAATATCTTTAAACTAGGAATGAAGTGAATACTTTGAATACCTTCAAATGCAGAACCAGGTGTACAACTAGCAGTGAGGATAGTTAATCCTGGATTGTTACCAAAACTTTAAAGTTAGTTATTAGACCTTTCTTCTGTGATCTGGTTCTAATTTGCATCTAATTAATGACATGATTTTACAGTAGTCACTCCTGTCTCAATCACCAGTTTATAAAATGTCCTTTCTGAACTCCAAACCTCTGCTAACTATTCAAGTGCTAAAGCAGCCTGAGCTCACGTAGCAAGCAGGTCTTTTCATGATTTAGTGTGTTGTTCTGATGTACAATTAGATTCTGAATCTCATTCCATTTCAGGCTGTCTGAATAGTGAAAATAACAACCAATCTGCGTTATTTAGCTTGAATTAAGCCTAAGGGTTTGTGCAAGCAGCAGTAGATGAAGCAGATTATGTTGTCACGAAGGTAGCACTTTCACAATAAAAGTAGCAATCTCAGAGAGAAACATGATGAAAAATAGTCAAATCACTTAGAAAAAGCAGTGAAAATAAAATGTGATTTTTGCAACAATGCATTGAGTGGGAAAATATAAGGATTCAGGCTAAATGCAGGGTGGTAGGGGAGGAAATCATACTGGTGAAGACAACAGAATTTACCTTTGATCGAGAGAGATGGAATGATGAATACACAAGATAACAAGCCAAGTACAGGGGACTGTTCAATAAGAGTTAGAAAGGTCAACTCTCAGTATAAATTGCTCTGTGAAGATACAGACATGCATTTTCATACCAGCTGCATGGCCAAAGTGTTTTTTTTGTACTGGGCCTCACAATTCAGACCCATTGTCTAATCAAGATCCAATCAAACTACCATTCTAGAAATATTATGCCTTATTCTGTCCTTTCATAACAATACAAAGTGAGGATCAGCAGATTCTCCCATTTCTAGATTATCCCTTTAGGTATTTTTGAAGGCTGTCAACTACCTCGATGACATTAGAATTAGACAGAACCCATACCCAGAGTGGTGGTTCCTTCGGAAGGCTGCCAGACTTCAGGAGACATTACGTTTGTTACATTCTTCTGAATAAGTAACATTCCAAATAGATTAAACCCATTAAAATAATGGAGCATATCAGGAATGTGCAATCTAATCCAATAGCTTACTATTACTGCAGCAGATGGCTGCTTGCCTAAAATTTTACATGTGATATAGACCAGCCTATACAATTTACCAGAAGGCAGGTTAAACTTACTGTTTGTTCTGCTGCTTTGTTCAAATTCTGACTTCCTTTTCTACACTCATTCTAAAAAAAATTAAAACGAATCTTTTACGATTTTCAGAGGCTTGAAAAAAATAAAACATATTAAAAAGATAAACTTTTATATTAAAGTTCATTTGTTTGGATGCTTAACCCCACTAGGCCTATCCTTACCATCTAGACAACAGGAACCCCACTGTATGCCCCATGGAGTTATACCTTCACCAAAACAAGGCCTCATTGTTCAGGTCCTTCACTGATAAAGGTAATCCACGTAGGATTTCATACCAATAAGGAATGAAAGGTACATAACAGAATAACTGTGAATGAAACATTTTAAAGAATTTTAAAGAATTCCAGTTACTCTCCTTTCTCCACATGCATCCCTATTTAAGGAGTCCAAATGCCATTTTGGTTCTCTTCAACTTGTACAATAAGCCCATTTAAAATAATAATGATGCTAAACATGCACCACAGCAGAATTTTTAAGCCTACTTTTTCCTGGAAAAAATGTAGTTACTTACGACCCTTCTTGTGCCTATATAGCTTAGGAGGTTAATTTAGTTGGGTTTCTTTGGACACATGAAAATTGTTTTTTAAAGCCCCTTCAAGGCATTTTCAGATTTTGTTCCATTTTATTTTACATTGTGTAAAGACTCATTTCTCTCTCAAAGAATGTATGGTCTAAACTGCCCCAGTAGAGGGAAATGCAACATACCAATATTGGATTTACTTAATCACAAATTGTAGGTATAATCTATAGAATATTCAAGTTCTTTATGTCATAATGAATGTCATGATTATAAATTTGAAAAGAGACTGTAAGAATAATTCATTGTTGTTGGGAACAAAACTTAGTGCTAAACACTAAAAATTATCTAAAAATCCCCAATCACTTAAACTAATTCTTTTTGTAAGTATATGAATTACATCATCTTCAAAAGTGTCCAACACCTCCCAATGTATTAAGTATGCACTTTCTTAAAATCTAGAAAGGCCCATATGGCTTGACAAATATTTAAAATATAATTAGCTTTAGCAAACTAACTTTAGATAATAATATTTTTTAAAAAAACCCAACATTTTGGCTCCTGCATCTCCATTTATTCACAAGTTGACAACTAGACAGATTCTTAACTCTGGCTGAGCTTCAAACCTTGTTTTTTCAAGAGGATTCTAGCTCTTTCCCTCCACAAATAGAAAGACTGTTTCTGGTGGGAGATGAGTTACCAGTTAAATGCTCAGTAAATGAAAATATTTTACTATTCACTAAAATAGAGAATCAGTATATAACAAATAATGTTACTATTTGGCTGTTTTCTGTAGTTGTGCACAGTTTCTTATTGGTATTTAAGGTGATCCATATCAGATCTCATCTCTACTGCTAGTATTTAAAAAACAGGTCCAGAAAGCATCTCAATTATGCATTTCACTCATCTGATCCACTGATGTGTTTTTCTAAAAGCTGTCTTTCAGCCTTATTTTAAAAGGCTTCCTTAATAGTCCAAGACTATCTATTTCAGTGAGCCACAGCCCTCTCAATCCTTAGAAAATTAACCATGTTGAACCTGAATCTTCCTTCTTGCAATCTAAAGCTGTTAATTCTTATCCTAAATACTATTAAGACCAAAAGCATTATTCTGATTACTCTTTGAAGCAGTCTTATTAAGTAACCTTAGAGTATGTCACTTGAGTCTCATTTTCTCTAGACAGGGAAAAATCTCTAATTAATTTTATATTTCTCCTTCTCTTTGGACCACGTCATCAGTCTCACTGGTCTGTACTGGAATTCTGCAATCTGTCTAATGGAGAAATATTTTTCCTGTGGTGTGACATCTGAAACAGTATTTTGGTCATGACTTATTTATGATGAATAGAACAAAATGACTACAAATCCATTCTCAAAGATAAATAGGAGGGCTTCTTCATTCACTTCTTTGCCTGAGAGAAAGCTTAGTTAGTATGAGTCAGATAAATTGGCAATACCAGAGAGATTAATAAATTCTGGTAGGATGAATGTCATGACAAAAGAAAGAGAGGCGAACTAAGTCCATTTGAATGACTACGTAGAGGAGCAAGTTTCCACATCTAACTGGCACAGGGGAGAAAGTCTGCTGTGTCAATGTTATCCTCTGGATTTTTGGTGTAATACTTGCATTTTAGGCTGAGCCTTAGTCTTTTGTTTTATATGCAATTTAAATGAAAATACTTTGATCTCATTCAAGGTGCAAAGGGTTCTGCTGATCTGGAGAGATGAGTCAGAAGTGACTCATCATCTGTTTTTTGGCAAGATGTTTAGAACATGGACAAATCACAAGGTGAATGGTAGGAATAATTTGAAACACCGTGGTCTCTTGCCATTAAAGGCTTGGTTAGTTTCGTGTTACCTTTTTTTAACTTCTGAAGCCTCACAGATAAACCAGAAGGC